TTAAACGATGTCGTTGCATATTTTCATTTATTAGCCGACAAATATATTTTTGTCTGAGAAGGATAAGTTATGGAAGACGAAAATATTTTGTCACCAATAAACCCTACATCATGTAGACAATGTCGTTTCATCTTTCTATTAAATGGGTGACAAATATATTTTTGTCTCAGAAGAATAAGTTGTGGAAGACAACAATATTTCATCACTAATAAATTCTGATTGATTACGCGACGAATATATTTTTCATCTCATAAGGTTAAGTTGTGGAAGACAAAAATATTTTGTCACCAATTATAAATTCTTTATTCTTGTATGTAAGGAGACAAAAATATTTTATCACTAATTATTTCTCTTTATTAAAATGGCATGGTTTTATGTTTCGGAGCACTGAAACCGAGACCCCAAGAGACACACTCTGACCCTTATCACTTATTTTCATTTACACGGACACTGAAGTTGTGACCCAAGAAGACACTTTCTACAAACCCTCATTTCTCTCTCGCACTTAAGCCTACTCCTCTCTCACAAGTATTGAAGTTATGACTCAAGAACACACTTTGTAAACCATTTCTTCTATTTCGCACTAAAGCCCCTCTCTTCTATCTCACACTTAAGCCCTTTGTGCATGCCAGCATTGAAGTTATTATCCCAGAAGGCACCCTATGCAAACCCACTATTCTTTCTCACAGTGAAGGCCCCTCTTGCACGCAAGCACTTTTTCTCATTGTCTGAACCAACTCTACCCTTTTCGTTTAGAACACCCATTTCAGAAAAATCAAAGGTCAAAACCTCCCCCAAAAAAAAAAAAAAAAAAGAGAGAGAGATAATTAATGTAGCTTTTTTTTTTTTGAGAAAAATACAGAGAAAAAAATAATAAGAAAATTTTAACTTTCAAAATTAATAAAAAATATTACCTTGTTTAGAATGGAGTTTTCAATAATTAATTTTTAAAATTTGGTGATAAAATTTATTTTCGTCTTAGAATATAATCCAAACATGACGAAATATTACTTTTGTCGTTTCTTTTAATTTTTCTCAAAACTATAGGAGACGAAAAAATAAATTTGTCAGAAAAAAAAAGAGGCACCCATTTTTTTTCCCTGTTGGTGCCAATTATTTTAGCTCATTGGAGACGAACATTTTTGTCACAAAATTTAAAGTTTTTTGCGACAAAAGGAATTCGTCACCAATAAATTCCAAACCTATTAGACGATGACGTTTCATTTTCTTATTTATTTGGTGACAAATATATTTTTTGTCTGGGAAGGATATTATGGGATACGAAAATATTTCATCACTAATGTAGCAATCCCAGTTTCAATCATTCTTTCATGTGTTTGCCACTTCGACTGGGCCAGTCGGAGATCGAGCTGCCCGGTTAGCTCGTGGGGGTCGAAGGGGCAGCGCCCCTTGGCGGGTCCGAAGGCAGTGCCCTCGAAGCAAAAATGCAAAATGCATTCGAAGTTGCTTGTCCGCTCGAGTAGTCGTTTATGCGCTCGAGCGGAGAAATTTGGTTTCAGAAGTTTGACCTGTCTGCAAAAATACTGGGTTAGTGTATTTGACACTCGAGTGGGGCTTTCCACGCTCGAGCGGATCATGTTATATCAGTTCGTGAATCTGATATTTCAGATCACTTTTTCAATCCTCTCTCTCTCTCTAAAACTCTCCAGAATTCCAGATCGGGAGCTTCTCTCTCTAGAAGTCATCTTTCCTCTTTGATTTCTCCAAATCCATTGAGATTTAGACTTAAGTTCTTCACTAAAGTTGGTTATCATCTCGAGGGCTTCATTGTGTACGATGAAGATGAGTTTCGACACCGTTGATTTTGAGGGTTTCATCTCATTTCTTCTTCAAAACTTGATGTAGGGATTTTCTTAGAGTTATATATATATGTTTTTGCAAGATCTATATGATTTTCGAAATCATCCTTCGATAACCTTGAAACTTGATTGTTGATTTAAGAAGTTGAGCGATTTTGAAAGTGAGTTTGTCTCTTGTTCTTTTAAAATGATCTTATGGGTTTTGATTTTCGTTGATTGAAGAAAAGATGATTTTGGAAAGTTTTCTTTCAAAAGATTTGAGTTGTATAGTTTTGGTGAGAAAACCTAGAATTTGGGAATTTTTTTTAAGAGACTGAAAATTCATGAATGATATTGTTATATTTATTTTGTGGGTCAAAATAAATGAATCTTTGGAAATTTTCTTATTTATATTTATATAAATGATAAATTTCAAGGAATATGAAAATTATTGTTCATTTTGGAAATTATTGTTCAAAACGTGAAATAGTCTTGAAATGACTAATTGTTGATGATACTTGAGAAGAGGGAATTGTGTTATTCCTTGGATGATGAATTGGAATAAAAGTATTTATATTCCTCTTGTGTTATTGGCATATCAATTCATTTGATTACATTAAACTTTGAAAGTTGATTTGAAAACTTACATTGAGAAAAGAATGTTGAGAAACAAGTTTTCATGTAATGGTTTTGGGATAAATACATTGGTAAGTCTTGATAGGTGGTGTAGATGATATTGAATAAGTTGGCCTAAAAGTCCGGGGTAAAAGACTGAAAACCCGCGCGGATAGGTGTCGAGCCTTCTGGTTAATACCGGAAAAAATGACAAATTGGTAGTACTTGTATAGTCTACTTGCAGACACCTACCTAGGGATTACCAGAGTCATATTTACCGCCCTTGAAATAAATTGTTAAGTTTTGAACAATTGAAATTGCATGATATCATTGAGCATTGATTGGTTTCAAAAGATGAAAATGTGGTTTATCTTCAAATATGGCATAGCATGACATGTGCATTTCATTTCTTGAGACTTGTATAAAATGTATATACTTTGTTAAGAATTTCTTATTGGGCTTTATGCTCACTCTACGGGATTTTTGTGCAGGAAAAGATGTGGTGATCCCACCCAACTAGGGGTGTAGAAGTATGTGTGTTGGGAGTACAATGCTCTCATTTTGCTGTGACTCTGTGTGTAAGCCAAGGGCTGTGTTTGTGTGGGTTTGAATAACCGTTTTGTGTAACCAAAGCCTTGAAAACTTGTAAACCCTTGAAGATATTTATTTGTTTATTTACTTGTTGTTGGATTAATGTATTGTTGCATGAAGAACTATTGTATCATGTAATGCAAGTTTGAAAATTTATATTCGATTTTCCTTGAAAGAGGCATGATTGTTGTATTATCATCTAGGCTAGAAATTTGGGGCGTTACAACTAATAAACTCTTCATGCTTGTTTTATCTTTTTGTTAATTGGGCGACAAATATATTTTTGTCTTGGAAGGATATGTTTTGGGAGACAAAAATATTTCAACACTAATAAATTTTCCATGTATCGTATTGCATTTCGATTGATTGCGCGACAAATATATTTTTGTCTCATAAGGTTAAGTTGAAGGAGACAAAAATATTTCATCACCAATAAATTCTCCATCCCCAAACAATGTTGTTTTTGCATTTTTATTGATTAGGCAACGGACATATGAGTTTGAGGAGACGAAAATATTTTATCACTAATTATTTCTCTTTATTAAAATATTGCAGAAACTAAGAGACACTCTCACCTTAATCCCTTACTTTCACACACACAAATGCTAAAGTCGTGACCCAAAAAGACACCCTCTACAAACCCTCATTTCTTTCTCGCACTTGAGCCTCCTCTCTTAGAAGTATTGAAGCCGTGACTCAAGAAAACAATCTCTATAAACCATCTATTCTATTTTGCACCGAAGCTCCTCTATCCTGTATCACATTTAAGCCGTTTGTGCATGCAAACATTATTATCCAAGAAGACATTTTATACAAAGCTACTATTCTTTCTCATAGTAAATCTGCCTCCACAAAAAGAAAAAATTTATAATATTAATTAAATAAGGAAACAAAAAAGAAGATTAATGTAGCTATTTTTTTGTGAGCAAAAATACAGATGAAAAAAAATAAGAATTTGTTGCCAATTTTCAAAATTAATAGCAACACTCTATTTATTTTGAAGTTTTAAAGAATAAATTTCTAATCTATATTTTTTTAGTCAACCTTTTTTTAATATTTTAATATATATATATATATATATATATATATATATATATACTTATTTACTTATTATATCCCTTTAATTTAGGTAAACTTAAAAAGTATAAAATTTATGAAAACACTTTCAAAAATTCACTACAAAAAATATAAAAATTTAGTGTATTTTCATATTTTTATTGAATTATTTATATATTTTTTCACAAATATAATTTTTTTTAAGTATATATTTAGATTAGGTGTATTTAAAAAAAGAAAAAAGAAAAAATAACTACAACTTAAAAAAGTTTTCTAAAGACAAACGAAAAACGAAAACTCAAAACCGAACAAATTAGTGATAAAAATGTTATTCTTCACTAGTTTTTGAACTTTTAATTTTGTTGGTTTAAATTCTCAGAAATTATTTTAAACGGATTTTCTTTTGTTTTTATAAATTTTTTTTTCCATATTTTAGTCAACATTTTGTACTTTGTAAATATATTAATATTAGACACATGTAAAAAAATAAAAATAATAACTAAATATGAAAAAAAAATCATTAAACGCAAACAAAAATGTGCACAGATTTTTATTCAAATTTTCATTTGTTCGTAATGAATTTTTATGATATTTTAGTCAATTTATTTTTTATTTTTTTTAGATACATTTAGGTTAGGTGTAACTAAAAAGTATAAAACATCGACGAAAATATTTATAAAAAAAAAAATCACTAAACATAAACGATAATTCAAAAAAAAAAATAAAAAAAATCACGAATATAATTTTTAATTTTCTCATAAAAATCAAAAGAATTAATTTTTTTTAGACTAAATTTTTAATTTAATAAAAAAATTATTTTTACCACAAAAAGAAGCCAAATATTTTGGCGCCTAGGAATATTGAACGCGCCTAAAGTTGGTGATTGGCGACAAAAATTACTTTTGTATATTACTCCTGAAAAGAAAAATAAAATGAAAAGTTTTGTTGAGAGAGAGAGAGAGCTCTTTGAAGCAGATAGATGAAACGATGCAAAGGAAAGAAGCCGGCCGGAAGGAGAACGACGGAGAGAGAGACGAAAGAAACGTACTCACGGCGGAGAGACTCAGCAAAGAAGAAAACACTCTCCCTTCAACCAGGTTTGGAACCTATTTGTTCTAGGGTTAAGATTTGGAGATTTGAAAAAAAAAAAAAAAAGATTTTGATTTGGGGATTTCAATTGAAAAAATAGAGTTTTGATTGAGGACCTAAAAAATTAGTTTTAGGTTCTGATTGTATATAAGAAATTATTTTGTTGAATCTAAAATTTTAGTGTGTTTGTTGAATCTAAAACATGTGATTGTATAAAAATTAATTTATTGAGATGTAAAAACAATTAAGCTAATTAATTTAAACAGTAGACTGTAGTTCATCCTAAAAATCAATATATAGATGAAACAAATGGTGGAGATTTACATCAAACTTGCTGAACTAGAAACAAAGAGAGGTTAGTCATATAGTTCCGAAATTATTTTCACTTCTTTTTTTCTTTTCTTTTTTCCATTTCATTGTTGTCTTGTTTAATTCTGGTATTAGAATCTCAGTTATTTTTCTGTGATTGATTCCCACTATTAGTAACAACTTATGTTAGAGTTTTGTTTAGAATTATTAATGAGATCATGTCAACAAGATACAAACAAAAAAGTTACTCTGCCAAGAGAAATTCGCAGTGTTCGACAGCTTGAACTTGTAAGTATTCCACTATGATTAGGACTATGAGTATCATTATTTTGTTTCTACAATGACCGCTGACCGTTGGTTATTACTTTAATAGCATTCTCATCATGAAAAATGGTATTGAGGTGGAATTGTTTTGATGATGCCATATGCCAGAAATCATAACTTAGATATTATCAAAATTTCTATTGAATTTTCTAACAATCAGGATACCAAGATACTCGAGAAAACCACACCAACGTGGTGGTTGATACACAATCCAGCTATCAGGCTTTGTGTAACCAAACTTTTTTTTTTTTTTCAAAAACAAAATTTTAAACCGTAAGTTTATAGTTAGCTATCTAATGCAGTTCTTCCTTCCAGGCTTTAGATAGTGACACAAAATGCATCAGTGGCAGGGTTTACAGAGGATGCTCTTTTCTAATTGGCACTCTTGAGTAACCTAATGTGCAGAGTCTCACATAACTTAGTCAAATTGTTAATCAGATTCATTGGCGTGCAAACGTTTTCCACTCTCTTGATATAAATTTTTATAAGAGCTGTTATAATGCTTCATAGTCTTAGGCTATTCAATATGGTCTATTTGATTGGTTAAAGTTTCTTTTGAAATATATATATATATACATATATTTACTTGTGATTCATTCTAGAGACATGTGAGATTTTGTTGGACCTTCATTTAGTTCTATTCCGTTCATAATACATGTGAAAAATTAGTCTATTATAAATTTATGAGGAAATAAAGTTAGACGTTTAAGTATATACTAAAATACTAACAAGCCAATATTTATATACATCATTAAGATATGTTTTTTGTGAGTTTTGAACTTCTTCTTCTTCTTCCTTTTTTTTATTTTATTTTATTTTTATTTTTGAATTTCTTGATGTCACATATGAGTGTATTTCATTCTAATGGATCGGGAATGCTATTTGACATATTGACTCAAAATTTCTAGTAAATCAATATATTTGGGAGTTCTGTAGCCTCAACCCTATTTTAGTGTCCTAGCAAAGATGTCTATTCCCCTCTTAGTTTCTAATTACTTATTAAATTATATATATATATATATATACATTGCAGCTTTGTTTACTTTTTTTATTATTATTTTTATTTTTTAACAAACCCTTGTCACATGGTCCTCTCATCAGTTTCATAAATCTCTGTTCATAGTCTATCATAATTGGATTGGATAGTGAACAGTTTTGGATTTATCTTTCAGAATACAAATCTTTTCAATTTTGTTTATGGTACTAGTGAATTTATGAATTTGGGAGGTACTTAGATTGACTGTTTCATAAGAGTCTAAAGAACATCTAGATTCATGTAGTTCACTAAACTTGCTAATAATGTTTAGGAAGACGTCTTAATGTAGTTCACTAAGCTTGCTAATAATGTTCAGAATACAAATCTTTTTCTTTTCCTTGTGTGTGTGTGTGTGTGTGTGTGGCTAATACGCATTATGTGATGCAGGATCCATCTTACATTGGTTCTTATTGCAATAGTATGCTGCTGGATGATGTAAGTTTGATTTTTAGTTGAACTTTCTTCTTTTAGCAGCAAAATCAAAACATGAATTATTACTTATCAAAAAAAAAAAAAAATTATCCAAACATGAATGTCAAGTTTAAAACAATAAATTCATGTTTCATGTAGCTAATTATGGAGGACTGCAGTACATATGCATTTAGGCTCCGATTGCTTGAGACATCACAATCTTAGAACTTGAAATTAATGTGAACACACAGCCCAAAGTTGAGGTGAACGCACAGCGCACATTTGTATTTGTACGCAGCTCACAGCATTGTATCTGATTTGGTTTGCACACAGCTCATACATTTCATTTGCACGCAGCTTATTCATTTCATTCTGAAACTGAATACATGTGTTCATTATGAATGCAGGTGCCTTCCCGTGTTACACGAGGATATGGCTCCATCGTTGCGAGGGAGTGGTACACAGAGCTCCCAGAGGCCGTTCGTGATTGGGTTGACCAGGCAGGGTTCGGACCCTTTTGCACAGGGATATCTCGCTATCCTGCTAGCAAGACATTGATGGGGGCTCTTGTAGAGAGATGGTGGGACACCACCAACTCCTTCCATTTCTTAGCCACCGGGGACATGACTATGACCCCGTTCGATTTTGCCATACTGACAAGCCTTGACATGGGAGGCTGGCCGATCCATTATGATGAGGATATGGGCGAGTGGGAGGCCGCCTGGATATATCTGTTGGGAGCTCGCCCACCGGTGGACAGATCCTCAGGCAGGGTCTGGTACACCTGGTTTTCTACACATTTCAGAGAGATGGTGCCCGAGACTCCCAAGGAGGTAGAGCAGTATACTCGAGGGTTTTTTATGTTCCTCTTCGGGACCACTCTGTTCTCCAATAGGGGGAACACTGTCGGGCTTTATCTGCTGAGTGCTCTGGTAGACCTCTCACGGGTCAGCCAGTATGATTGGGGTGGCGCCGACTTAGCTACCCTTTATTGCTACATGAGCACGACCTCCCACAGACGGGGGAACATAGTCGGTGGCTACTGGAGAGCCTGGGAGGTATTTTCTGCCCTCTTGATTTACATTTCTGCTTTTCATTATCTGTACATTGCACACACAGCACACTTCACATTCTATACTTTGCACTCTGCTTTCAGCATTCTGCATTCTCTGTACATTCTGCACTCGGCATTTTCTGATGGCTATTGCCCTGTTTTCCACAGCTATGGGTTTTCGCATACTTTCCCACACTAGCCCCGGAGCTTGAGGTGGAGGTGCCTCTTATGATCCCTTACTCGCTCGTGTTTGAGGGCCAGTATCCACCGAGAGCTCGGGAGACTCTGCCCTACCTGCGGTAGTTTTTCGACACAGTGCGACTGACAGAGGTAATTCAGAACTCTCAGTCCTCCGTGTTTTCATCTTTGACTCATCTTTCACATTTACGATTTCTAATCAGCTTATGCATTGGTTATCCGCAAATCACATGGCAGCCCTGGGCGCCCTTGGGTGGAAACACTCGATTTCAGTATGTTGGGGGATGGGCCTCTTCTCGGTACAGGATCCTGTTTGAGGGGCCAGCTGGCAGGGCCTGGTTCCTGGGGGAACGTTTCATGCGCCAAACAATGGGCTACCCTCATCAGGATATCCCCTCAGCACCTCCGAACGATATGCAGCTCACTGGGAGGCTCACTCCCCAAGAGGTCGCTAGTGCCATGTTGGATACAGACGTATTGCTACATTTAGAGGAGGGGGACTATGCGACCTACCGTCATACATATTTGATGCCCTCATTGACAGGTGTTCGTACTCCCACGAGGAGGTCTGCTGGCATGCCATCATCGAGCCGACCCCAGGCTGCAGATATCCCTTCAACCAGCAGAGCTAGCACATCGAGAGGTGGGGCTGGATTGGTTCCCCCTATCCCCCCGACTTATCATCATGCCGGATGGCCAGACATTCTGACCGAGTTGATGGGTTGGCGATACGGGACTTCTTACCCGATTTCGATAGAGCCTCCTATGCCTGATCACCGATACGTCAGTGATCCTGACTCACCACCGGTATGCTCCACTGCTTTTTATTTATCACTCAGATACTTAGGTACTCATTTATTCATTGATGATTTGAGCTTGTATCTGCAGCCACCCAGAGAGTACATGGAGGGGATGCTGGATTGGTGGCCTTACTTGAGGGCATGGTCTTGCGGAGGGAGGCATAGCTGTCCATCCTCGGTGTCCCGGTACTCTTTAGTTTTCTTGCATTTATCATACTTTTGATGACATGCTGAACTTGAACATTTCATTGCATTGATTGACTGTATGTGTAAAGCACATCTGACACACACCACATTCATGTACTATATCTGCATACATCCACTCTATGTAGCTTTCTTGTCTGTGCATCTGATATACATATTTGGGCTGATGTATTCGAATTGCACTCTTTCTTTTCAGATGCCTCCGCTATATACTGAGCCATAGGTCGGGCCATCTAGGCCTTCCCGGGGAGTTGGGAGAGGGGGTTCGACTCGCGACCGAGGCAGACGCAGAGCACCTGTTGTAGAGGAGGAGTCCAGCGAGGATGAGGAGCCTGCGCATCCCCAGTCAGAGACATTTGCTAACAGAGAGGGTGGCTCTGGTTCCGATTCTGGTAGTAGAGATGAGGCCGAGGAGGATTCCGAGAATGACAACCCCGATTCAAATGATGATGATGGTGCAGAGGCTGTTCCGCAGAAGAGGACGAAGAGGACCTCTTATTCTTGCAGTTGATAGCACTGATGCAGTTGTTCCCTGCTTTATTTGCCTTTTTTACTAGTAGTTGTAGCATTTTGTACATTATTAGGCAGTTTTATTTTCTGTAAAACTTGTACCCTTATTGTAAAATGTTGTAACAAAGGAAGCATGATGGAATGAAATAGCTTTTCGAAAAAAGTGTTGTATTTTATGTTCTTAGCATTACATCGCATCATTTTGCACAAAAATGAGATTGAATGGAATTGTGCACTGAAAATTGCCGAGTCAAGTAGTGAACCGACACAACAAACTAAACAAGTTAACAACTTAACTTACTAAGAAACAACGAAATCTTAGCAAGTCTACAACTCGATAAGCAAGACACAACAATGTTGATTAAACTTACAACTGGATAAGTAAGACACAACAATGTTGATCGAACAAAGAGTAACAATTCGATACACAAAACTCGCCAACTTGACAAAACTTAACAACTCGATAAACAAAACGACTTGATAAACAAAACGACAACTCGATAAACAAAACATCAGCTCGATAAGCAAGACTTAACAGCAACTCGATAAACAAAATGTATTTCGGACGATCGGAGTGACGGAACGCATCCAAAACAGAGAAAACTCGCACCTTCAACACTCCCGATGCATGGAAATGCTAGGAACTTTCTTCTAGAGGCTAGGACAAGACCAAAGCCCCTCTTTCCACCATGGCCAACCACCTAAGGGAGCTGGCCGACCAGTTTTTTCAATGAAGACCAAAGGGGTGGTCGGCCGACCACCTGGCTTGGCAACCACTAGTTTGTTGACACGTGTCCCCCGAACAGTGCCTTATCCTCTATAAAAGTCCCAGCTTCGTGGTTCATTCATTTTATCTCAGTTTTGCATCAAAATGGAGGCGTTCCTCATCCAAAATCTTACAGCTTGGATTGCTTCTCTGGATGGCTCAAAAAAGTTGAACTTCCGGGGCTTCGGCTTGAATACACTATTCACGCTGGGCCGTACTCCGCTGCATCTTCCTTTCCTTCATGCCACGGCAAGGTTCTAGAATCCGATAACACACGTTTTTAGCTTTAGCGGGCAAGAGATGTGTCCTACTTCCGAAGATTTCCAAGCTTTGATGGAATCCGAGCGCAATGAGGAAATCTTACCTCAACTCCGATTTGGCCACGTTCAAGCCCTAGGACGAATGTGCGGCCTCACTTTGCATGATGCTCGATCATTGGTTCACGACGGGGAGCTGGACATCCCAAGCTTGGTTCGCTGGTTTTCTGATGCTGGTGACCGCGGCGACCATCATTGGCAGGGCTATCGGCGACACGCGCTTTGCCTATGCTTGCTATCTCATTTCTTGCTTGCCCCAGGCTCTGGTGGATTCAGTGTCCGGTTGATCGAGGTTGCCCAAGGTTTGAAGGAGGGCAAGAGCTGCATCGCCATGACATTGGCTGAGACATTGATGGGCTTAGATGCTTTTCATCGTCGGGAGACGGCTAGGCTTGCTGGGAGCCCGCTACTATTGTAGGTAATGTTTTCCACCCAACCTCACATATGTATTGCTCACATCACTCAGCCCTCAGGCTCAATTTTTCTCACAAAACCCTTTTCTTTCTTTTCTCTCATCGTACATCTCTCTATTCTTTATTCTCTCATTTTTTATCCCTCCCTAGGTGTGGTTGATGGACAAGTTACAGATTGTGGAGTCTTGCCCAGCATACTCAGCTCGCGGCTACTTTTTTCGACAACGCTTGGTCGACGCCCTGGATGAGGGGTGGTGATACAACTGGATGTGCAGTTTGTCTGCAAACCGCATCGCTTGGCGCTGCCCTTGGCTCAATCTGCCGGCAATGAGTTACAACATGACCCGTCAACCTGGGATTCAATTGATTGGCATGACACACGGTGCCTTCTATTTTCCGTTCCGGTTCCGGCGCCAGTTCGGACATGATCAGACTTGCTCGCCAGAGGGGATAGAGTACCCTGCTGCATTCCCAGTCTGAGGCACACAGCTTGCTAGGTATGCCACAGCATAGAGGACCAGAGAGCTCCTAGCCCCCGCTCCCACTTTCAGTTGCACTTTTTCTGATGAGTGCTTGGATTGGCTCAATGAAGAGGCACAGGAAGGGCCCACTTTGGCATCAGAGGCTTCGACCAGCTCTGGAAAGGGGCGCAGGAACACCTGACTTATCTATGCCCTGAATTTATTGCTTTATTAGTACTTTCAATTTTTCTTTATGAATGTAATAAAAAGCAACTTCAATTTGTATGCAAGAGTAGGAGGACTCTGTATTTGAAATCAATGAAATTGAAGGTTGTGGGTACTGAAAATTTTCTGCTCTGGTCCAAAAATGGTCTAAGTTGTAAAAAGATTAATTTTCAACAAAGTCAACTTTTATTAAAACTTTTCAAAACCGTTTTCGATATGGATCAAAACTGGACACGCCTGAAATCCGTCACTGAGATGCACAACCTCGGATCCTAGCAACTGGAAAGTTGTCCCTAGTCTGAATAGTACCGCGGCACTACACAGCAGCGGAAAGTTGCCCCTAGTCTGAAAAGCACTGCACCAGAGATCATAACTGAACTTTTGAATGCTGAATAGACAAAGATGGCCGAGATGATCAAATGGACAAAGTTGATCGGGGAAAAGTTTATGGCTGAACTTCAGGATGAAGTTGCCTACGTATCCCAAAGATGGGAATCACGCCTTACGTAGTTCAGGCCTAGGTTCACTCGAGTATTTTCACTCTCCTTTTACGCTCTAGCTTTTGCTAAGGCCGCCCTTTGCAGGTTTTCAACCTTGCGAGCTCAGTTTTTATAATTTCAAAAAAGATTATGCTCTGACTTTTGCCTAGGTCGCCCTTTCGGGTTTTCGGCCTAGCGAGCCACTCAGGGGTAATATTTCTTCAACTTATCCATATTGATCGGTTGGGAGAACTCTAGGCCATCTAGGTCCACCAGAACGACACCTCCATCCGACCAGATTGACTTGATGATGTAAGGACCAGTCCAATTGGGTCTGAACTTGCCCCTAGGGTCGTGGATGGGAGCTCGGTTGTCTTTGAGTACCAAATCTCCTTCTTTCAAATTCCTGGACTTAACTTTCTTGTTGAAAGCCCTGGTAATTCTGCATTGATAACCTTGAACATGGTACAATGCTTTCAGTCTTCTCTCATCAAAGAGCATGAGTTTTTCAAATCTGCTCTGCTGCCAATCTGCTTCGGCTATTTGACACTCGGCCAACACTCGTAAAGACGGAACCTCAATCTCGATAGGTAGAATGGCCTCCATCCCATAAACTAATGAATACGGAGTCGCCCCAGTAGAAGTTCTAATTGAAGTCCGGTAACCCCACAGAGCAAACGGCAGCTTATCTGGCCAATCCCGATAGGTTTCCACCATCTTCTGCAGTATGTGCTTGATGCTCTTGTTGGCGGCCTCAACCGCTCCATTGGTTTGCGGCCGGTATGTGGATGACTTATGAAAAGCCACGTTGTATTTCTCTAACAAGTCAATCACTTCCTTCTTGAAGTGGGAACCATTATCTGAAATGACCTCATTTGGGACCCCATAACGACAGATGATATTGTTTCTGATAAACTTTGCAACGTGCGACGTCTTCAACACCGCATAAGATTGGGCCTCAACCCACTTCGTGAAATAATCTATCGCGACTAGGATGAACTCATGCCCATTCGACCCCTTTGGAGTGACAGCCATGATCACATCGATTCCCCAAATTGAAAATGGCCATGGCGAAGTCATATTATACAGCTTCGACGACAGAATGTTCATGCGGTTCGCATGGATCTGACACTTGTGGCATCGCCGAACAAAACCGATACAATCCTCCTCCATGGACCAATAATAACCTTGTCTGAGGATCTTCCGTGCTAGCATTACCCCGTTCATATGCGCACCGCATTCCCCTCCATGGATGGCCTCCATCGGGCGTTTTGATTCTTCAGCTTCAACGCACAGTTTATGCATTCCCAAATGACCTCTCTTGTACAATTTACCTCTACAGATGATGAACTGAACGGCCATTTTTCTGATTGCCCTTTTATCCTTGGCATTTACCCCTGGTGGATATGCTTCATTCTCTAAGAAATTCCAAATATCTTAATACCAGGGGTTCTCATCTTGAACCTCATCTATAGCGGCAATCGACTCGTAAGCCGGTACAAATTTCTAGTCGATAATGACTGGACGCATCCGGACTCCAAACGGGATGTTTATCATGGAAGATAGAGTTGCTCGTGAATCTGCGAACCTATTGTTTTCTCTTAGTAGGTGAGTGAAGTTTAGCTTCTCAAACCAAGGAATCAGCAGGTCTAAGGTTTGGTGGTACATTATCATATTTTCCTCTTTAACCTTCCAATCCCCCTTAGCTTGGGATACAACAAGGTTTGAGTCCCCAATGACGTCTAACCGTCTTGTCCCTAGTTCCAGGGCCGCTTCTAAACCAGCAATGCATGCTTCGTACTCTGCTTTGTTGTTCGAGACTTTGAATCGGAGTTTAAATGCTAAAGGGATACGGGAATTGTCAGGTGCTATCAGCAACACCCCTATCCCATACCCATATTGGTTCGATGCTCCGTCAAAGTACATCGTCCAAAACTCATCTTCGATATGCAAAATGGCCTCATCTGGGAATAAGTACTTAACTGCTTCACCTCCTTCAACTAGATGATTGGCTAAGAACTCCGCTACCGCTCTTTCCTTGATTGACTTGCGCATCACATATTTCAAATCGAATTCGAAAAGCAACAGCAACCAAAAGCAACAGCAACCAACGAGCTAGCCTACCCGTAAGTGCCGGTTTCTCGAAAAGATATTTGATGGGATCTAGTCGTGAAACCAACATTATGAAGTGAGCTAACAGGTAGTGTCGCAGCTTCCTAGTAGCCCATACCAAAGCTAGACAAGCCTTCTCCAACGGTGTGTAACGAGTCTCATACTCTAGCATCTTCTTGCTCAGGTAGTAGATGGCTCTCTCCACTTTGTCCTCTGATTCTTGCGCGAGCATACAACCCATT